AAGTACCAGCTTTCCTCATTTTAACAGGTAATGTTTAAAAGAAAAATTTCGGGGGCAGCACCACCGTAAGCCCCCGTCCTTTCAACTTCGGGACCCCCCTACTTTAAAAGGCTGGCTCCGCCCCTGGCACCGAGGATCCTAGTGAACTAACAAACATGGGTGCTGTTGATCGTGAAGTTTTGACGAAATTCAATGAGTTTTGTTTTGATTCAGAGTGTTCTCGGACTGGTGCCAAGAAAAATGACCCGTGGTGGCGTATTGTTGATACAGAAAAATTGGCTGTATTGGTTGCACATAGATCCTTGAGTTTATAGAAAATTGTGATCTTCCCCTGCCTCAGCATACGAACGTCAAGGACGTAAATGTTAATTTATGTTGTTTTAGTCCTGATGGAATTGACACCTCATCATTCGATCAGAAGCCCCGACCCTGAAAGTTGCTACAATTTAACTAGTCATATAACACGAAGCCTTTCTGCAGAAATTCCTTACACGAAACATAGGTTGTCGGCTGAAAGCGAGTTACTATCAAGTTCAGTCAAACGATCAAGGTATTATATTGCTTGTATTTTAATTGTTTTCTTACAGTTATTTTCAACATGTTTCATTTTTTCCGTTTTAGAATTTGTATACAAGTTTAGTCTATTGATCGATGTCCTGAAAATGTACACATTTCCAAGTTAATAGCATATAGATAAGCTATTTGATTGACAAACTGTTACTGAACTGGAAAACAGTGACAGTCCAACCCACAAACGGATACCCGAGATGCTTAATTACGAGAATGATCCGAGCAAGGCCCGACTATTTGAAGCATTATGTAACTCTCATACACGTGCCTGGGAAGCAGAGAAAGCTGTCGAGAAAGAACACATTATCCAGCTTATTTTTAGACAGGCATCACAGCTTTTCGCCTACAAGCAGTGGTTCCAACTATTGCAACTCGAGAAAATTTATTTCCAGATCAAGAACAACAATAGCCAGCAGATATCCACCATTTCCCCCCTAAAGTCCCCTGGGTGCCTCAGAGAACTAAGAAAACACAAAATAGCTGGCACATGTCTGGCAGGGGAAAACTTGGTAAACAGTCTCATGCTCGCTATGATATTAGCAAATATGCAATCGATTTTGCCTTGGGTTTGGGTCTTGTTAGCGCCGGTTTGTTTCTTGGATGGACTGTAGGGTGTATGCTACCAAGCTTGTAATTTGCACACGTCTTTTGTGCTTGTTCAGATTTTTGTGGAGATAGGTTCATGAATGAGTTTATTCCACTTTATTTTCCAGCTTATGTATGAAATCAAGATCTTTGTTTTCCTTGTTAGAACTTGCATATTTGATTTTGTACATATAATATGATGAAATGTTAGTGTACATATTTCGACTTGAATGTAGTTTGGCAGATTACTAGTAATTGCAGTACTAGTTCTGAGACTTGCGTGCTCAATTAAACAGTGACCTTTGCAACACCATTATGAGCGGCTGACCTAACTTTCAGGTGAGACCAAGTTCAATCTCAAAATGGCCACATTAAAATTGCATTTTAGAGAGGTTAGTTTGATATCTAAAAACTGTTCAGCAATAGTTGAATAAGTAAGGAATGTGGGCTCAAGCAGTTCTACTTTCTCGAACCGAGAAACCAATCAAGATTGGGCTTGAGTGCAAAGGTAGAGAAGGAAGCTTGATTGCAAGAGCAAGTTCGCTCGTCCTCATATTAATCATGCCTTAAATAATTTCAATGGAGAGTTTAGACTTCAATTTTGCGTTCCCTTGCCAAGCTACATTTGGAGGGTTTTTTGTTTTGTTTTTTTCCAAAGACAACTAGGCTTTAAGAATATCTATCTTGAAGCTTGAAGTTATTTCATATATCTATTCGTTTTAATTTTTTTTTTTTTTTATATATCTCACAATGAATCAAAAGGATTGTTCGAGATGAATTTATATGACTGATTATTAGTGATATGACTAAATTAATTGCATGTCTCAGCGATAGGCGGTAAATATTGTGATTATAAGTTTATAGAAATAGAAAAGAGAAGGGAAAATGCCTATTCACTTGCATGGCCCATGCAGATTTAACTCTATCTCCATCGGGGGCAATTCTCCCTAATAGTTTTGCTATCGAAACGAACGAGATTTTTTGTGCAATCTTTTATTTCTGGCACAATGGCAAGAGTAACAAAATATCTGGGCCATTAACATAGGTAGGTACGGTAAACTCGACTAAAATATGACATTCAAAGGGTTCAACATGCACAATTCTATCTCGGGGAAAAACTCACAATTAAGGCATTAACTATGCATTGGTCACAGATAAAAAAATTATATGTCACAATTTATCAATCAGCCACGTATTTTCAAATTTGTTGGTTACAAATTATCGAATTTTAATGTCGCGATTTATTTTATTGGTCACAGATAAAAAATCATATGTTACATTTTATCAATCAATCACGTATTTTCAAATTTGTTGGCCACAAATTATCGAATTTTAACGTCACAGTTAAACAGTTGGTCAGAGATAACCAAATAATGGGTCACATATGACCACGACTAACACCACGACCAAATCCAATCGACTGCTAAGAAAAACCATGGCAATCAACTATATCAGATCTCCAGCCACCAACAACCACCACCCCGTCGCCTCTACTAGATCCAACCCCAACCACATAACCGCCGCCACCACCATAACAACATCGCAACATCCCCACCAACAAAACCGTCACCACCAAATCCAACAAAAAAAATCCTAAACCCGCCACCACCTCTATCCCCGTCGCCGCCACCAGATCCACCACCAGCCCCGTCGCCAACAACAACAAAGACATCACCATACCGCAAACCCGCCACCACCTCCAACCCCGTCGCCTCCGCCAGCTAAGCCACCACCCCACCAACAAAATCATCAAGTCCGCCACCACACAAACACCATCCCACCTCCACACAAAACACCATCCAATGAATAAAAAAAAATAAAAAATCAAGCAGAGCCACGGGCAGCGATGTTCACAGCTTCGCCATCTCCAAGCCGTACCACCGCCGCTACCGCGCAAACCATGGGTCACAGAAAATTCTTAGAGAAACGCCACAAATCGGAGAAGATTTCAAATCGCCGCCCCTGCACTTCTGAGCGCAGAGGCTCCGATCTCTTCATTAAGAAGCGCGATGTTGCTTAAGTGGTGGCGGCAGCTCGATTCCCGCGGTGGATACTTCGACGACGACATCTGACAAAGAGAAAGACATGAGAAGGAGATGAAGAAGATGTGGAGGGAGAGTAAGGAGAATGAAATAAAATTAGAGTTTGTAATTGAATTGAGTGAAAAATTTAAAATATAATTATTATGTAATATTTGATTTTTGATTAAATAAAGTTTAAATCTGATTTTTGAATTTGTAAATTTAAATGTCTCATTTTATGTAATTTCCTCTTCTATCTTGTCCTATTCTATCCTACCAGAGTTATGGACCCAGATCACACAGTCCTAATTGATCCATTAACGAATCTCAGCCCATTTCTAAATCAGCCCGTTTTATTGCTTGACGGGCCGACACAAAACCCATCGCCATTACCCAAACCCAAATTCATCAGCCAACAATTTCCAAGCTCGCTAGAGATAGAGGCAGAAAGGGGAAAGGGAAAAGAGAGGAGTGAAAAAGTCAGTCGGAGAATATGCCGGTGATGGAAAAGCTGAAAATGTTCGTAGTTCAAGAGCCTGTTGTGGCCGCTTCTTGCCTAATCGCTGGCGTCGGTCAGTATTTTTACTGATTATGTGTATGTGTAGATATATGAATGATGATTTGATTCATTCTGTTTAGCGGCCTTGGTTGGATTTTTATAATTTATGTGTAATGTGGATAGGAATTGTGTTAAAATCGATTTAAGTCTGAATCAAAATAATTCTGTACCATTTTCGAGGTCTTAAATCTCATTACCCGGTGAAAAAGGTTACTGATTGAGGCAAAAGTGAAGAACTTTAACATCCTGGTACCTAAAAACTACACATTTTGAGATGGTTTTCTGATTGAAGCATCGTGATGTGCTTTGATTTGGGTGGCTGGTTATCATGATTGTGGATAGTTTTCAATTGGGCGTATTTGGTCTTCAAAATCTTGTACTCTGTGAAGTTGCTTCTATTCTTGCTCCGTGCGTGATCTAAATGAAGTACATAGTATTGATTTTCGAGTCTTGAGAGTGGGTCTTAAGTTCAGTGGAAGAAAAATGTGTGAACAGAATCTGTAAAACATTATGTTTTGAGAGAAATTACCTCTACTTCTGTAAATGTGTTGATTATGTGGAGATCAAGAAGATATCCATCTCACAACATTTGGAATTGCAATTGCAGGACTCTTCCTTCCAGCCGTGGTAAGGCCTATACTGGACTCTTTTGAATCATCCAAGCAAGTACCTCAGCCTCCTTTAAGTGATGTAAGTGAGCTCTGTTTTTCTAATTATGCAGAAACCCCATTTCCTTCTTATTCACCTTGTTGTGTATCTTTTTATTTTGTTTTGTTATTAAGATTTATTGATTTTTTATTGTTTCATAGAGTGACTATGTTCATTACCGTATGTTTTTACATGACTGGTATGTTAATTTTCATTCTAAACGGCTGACCATCTTCCCTCCTAGAGCGTTGGAAAGGGGATGAGATGGGCTGCCAGATAAATGACACGTTAGATTTGAACTAATGGTTTCATTATCACCTACAATCACGATTAAAAGTCATTTTCTGAAGTATATTTTGTCCTATCAGTGTTAGTTCTCTCTGTCTCTCTGTCTCTCTCTCCGTCCGTCCGTCTGTCTGTCTCTCTCTCTCTCTCTCTATCTCTCTCTCTTTTCTTTAAAGTGTTAGTTGGTGATGATAGGAGAGAATCTTTGAAGACTCCAATTTCAGAACTCTTAAAAGTTGTACCTCAATATGGGTTGTCGTGGAGACTAGAGAGACACTTGGACTTGGTTGAGAACTTGGATAGCACAGTGTAGAGTAGGTGATGCAAGCTACTACGAAAGCACTAAATCACTAATTTCTAGACTTTCCCTTAGTACTTGTTGTCAATCAAAAATATTTAGTCTGTAACATGCCTTAGCAAAATTAAGACATATGAGCACCGAAGTTGACCGAAAGGAGAAAAAAAACATATTACAAGAAATATGTTAGCGATTACGTTAGTTTCCATATTTTAACCATGTGGGAGTAGAGGGTTAAATGCATGGCACACACACCCAACTGCCTATGTATGTTATATTTGTTAGTCTCACATTGTATGAAACTGATCTCTCTTTCGGAGGGATAATTGTATGACACACACNTCTCTTTCGGAGGGATAATTGTATGACACACACACCCAACTGTCTATGTTAGTCCCACGTTATATGGAAACTGATTTATTCTTACTTCTCTTCTTTAATGTTTCTTCATTGTTCATACGAGTTAGTTCAGTTCATATCATATACTTGTATGTCTTCCTTTCCTACTTAACTTTACTTAAAGGGTTCTTTCATGATCTTTAATGAAACACTCGGGTATGCTCTTTTGGGCTTCGCTAGTGCTTAAGTTGCTTATTCGTGGATTGTCTTTTTTTGAGCACAAAAACTGCAAGAACAGATGTGATTGCTAATTCTAAACCTTGAGTTTGCAGACTCGGTTTTCCAAATCCATGGCATGAATTTAGTGGTATTGTGCGTTGTAGTCTTTAGCTTGCGAATTTGAGACAGATTTGAGGGGCGCTAAAGATATCATAGTTATCCTATATGGTGAATATTATGCATGGTCATCTGGGTAAATGGAAACTCTATAGACATTTCGTATCGTGAAAGTTTGCCTTTGTGAAAGGAGAGTTAGTTATAAAATATCTTTCATGTGTCTACCACAATTCGGGGGGGTTTTGTTGTACTTGAACCCCTACGCTGCTTTTGTGGAGTTATACATTTCAAGTGATTTAGATGTGGCAACCTTTGATACATGGTATTAACATTTAATATCATGATATCCACCAGTATTTAAAATGATAAAGAGTTAAATAACTGTACTGATAGTTATTATTTGAATTTCTATCTCGCCCTATTTATTTTCCTGCACAAGTGCTCAAGCATATTTCATATGTTATTATTTATTTCTATTATTTGTTCCAACTATTAGAAAGGCTTTCGGTAACCCCTGTCTCATACCTACCGGCAGCGAGCTGGTTACTGCTTGAACTCACCTAAGGTATTGTGAGGAGCGTGTGCCTGCTTCTTCTACTTTTTTTTCTAAACAGTCATCATTCAATGTTTAGGACTTGCAATGCTGCCATAACTGTTTTTTCTAGAATCATAAATCCCTGTGCACTTTGTTTCAGAAGAAGAGCTTTTTTATATGTAGTTAGATAAATTTATGGTTTGTCATTGCAGGTTGTTGCTGGTATGACCGGTAAAAAACAGGGATGATTTCACCAGTCTTTGTACTACTTCTTTATATCATTCCATTGTGATTGGAGCCGGTAATAATTTCTTCAAGTTCAGTTGACCTTCTGTTGAAGAATGCTATGTTGAACACTATGTAAAGAAGAAACATAATTATCAATTTTATGCTACTTCTGATTTATGCAAACGAGCTTTCACTTTTGTGTTTTACTGTAGTGCACGAGTGTCTCTTTACTTTTCTCTGTCGTTTTCTTTCATTTGAATAAGTTCGGAACTTTGTTTTAAAGACTTGAAAGAAATGACAAGCCTATACCACTAGTCATGAATTTATGCAAGTTAGGATTGTTGTTGAATTTTATCTGCACTTTGCAAGTATGACTGACATAATGTCATCATATCTCCCAGAAGTTTGGACTGAAATTGTCTGTAAATATATCCATCTCTGACGGTTGGCTTAAATAAAAAACACAAGTACTTAAAAGTCAATAAGGAATGGCCAGCATTGAAATGAAAGGGCGATACCTGCAGAAATTCAGATGGAATTCTGGGAATTTGAGGTTTTGTCCAAAAAGTTCATTAGCCCTCAAAAAACATATTCAAGCCTTTAGTTTCTCTATTCAACACCTTGTAATTATAATACAAACATAGTATTAGTATATAATTTTCACATCTTGCTAACCATAGGAACAACACATTATCAAGTGGGACAACTAATGGAAAAGCACAACCTCCCGAAATAGTAACACAAAATTAACTTTCTAAGCGTTCACATGTTTTCATATTACTCCAAATTCGCAAGACTCAAACGTTGAACCCTTCTTTCTTTGGTTTTCTGCTCTTCCATGGTATAACTTGCTTGAAACCTTCATATATAGCAGCCTGAAAGCGGAAGAAAGTAATATTTTGAAGAGGCAGTCCAATGGAAAAACAATACTTGGTAGCAGATAGTACTAGATAATATAATATAGAAGGTAATTACTTAAATTTCTTTTTCAATACCGTCCATCCAAATACGAATTTCTTTCTTTTTGTTTCTTTGAAGCCATGCATAATCTATGATTAAATATTTTGTGCCCACTGTTAGATGGTTATAATGCCTGCTGTATTCGAATCATGGAAACTACATGTAATTAATAAATGAAAAATAATGAAGCTTATAGGAATTAATGACTACGGAACATTGTGCCTATGTGCTTCTACTTTTGACTAGATGATACCGTAATTTATACCACGAGGAAAATAGGAAAAGAACATACCAAGAGGTGAGTTTTAGCTTGATAGACACTAGAAAAGCTTCCATTTCTTCTCATATTTCCCTTTTTCACCCTTGCACTCTCATCAACTTCTCTTTTTCCACCCTTTTTTTGCCCCCAAGTACCGAAAAAGCCTCTTCCTTTGTGCTCTTTCTTGTCAAGAACCATAGTATCGAGTTCGTCTCTCTCAGGACTTGTGCTACTGGTACTGTCGAAAGAATCTCGACGTTCCCTAAAGAATCTGAAAGATGAAAACTTCGGTCTGCTGGCTACATATGGTCCATCCAAGACTGTGGTGGGAGAGGGTGTTTTGGAATTTTTGGGGGTGGACTCCATGTATAGCCTAGGAGGGAGCTCTAAGAACTTGGGTTCTACAGTGTCAATGGGGTTGGACGGGGAATAGAGAGTCGAGCAGGACCGAGGTTTACCGGGCTCATCCTCCCATTTGAATGGCACTGATGCTAAAGTCTGCAGTGGTGGTGTTTCTGTGCCGGAATGCTCTGGTGACCGTATGACTGGTATACGCAACATTGGAAGTGGAAGCTTATATGATCTGAAATTTCGCTCTGATTTGCACTCTAATCCCATGATTGTATGGTGTATGTATGAGAGAGTGAGAGAGAGGGGGAAAGAAAAAACCTAGAACACAAGAATATAGAACAATGAACAACCTTAAGAAAGGATTGATCAGGTCTAATAGTAGACCACGTAAAGCTTGTGGTTCATTGATATACTCTTATTCTGAACCTCTTGCCTCACCTGTGTGTATATAAGAGAGAGAGAGAGAGAGAGAGAGAGTTCTGAGTATGTGTGGATTTTGTGATGTTGGTAGGTGTTTTTAAATGGTGCTTTTTGTAGATGTTGACAAGAAAAAGGCAGCAGACATTTATGAAAGAGGATTAATACAGCCAAATTTTTATTCAATGAGATTTCACACTTAATTGCATTTTGTCTGGTGAGATCATTTAATGCTTGTTTGGTAATATTTTTAAGTGTTTATAAGTTGCGCGTCCTATAGAATGTGTGGATAGTAAGTTGTGAAATAAAAAGAATGTTCAATTGACTTAATTATAATTTAAGCTTTGTGAAGCCTGTCGAGTTCGTGTAAAGAACTCAACCATAGTTCTTTTTCACAGAGTGTTCTAAAATTGTCGTGCACTATTTCGACGGTTAATCAAACATAAGTCGAGCCTGTCCAAGTAAAAGACGAGAGTTGTTTGATTAATGTAAAACTCCATCATATATTAATGACAAAAGGAAGTAAAGAATTCCGTTGGAACAATAAAATAAAAACATTGATTATCAAGAACCACAGCCTCAGTGGTCAAAAAGGCAAAAAAGAATTTCATTAAAATCAAAATAAAGTGGAACAAAGCAATGTACAATTTCAAATTAAAGATGGTGAACACATTAAAGCATAGATCTTCTGATTGTTTATTGCGGTTATTGATTGGGACGCTGAATTTTAGGATTTAGAAGATGCTTTATTAAGAAATATTTGAATAAAAGAAGATTAAGTTCAATATAGTATCCTTTTTCATTTGACATACAGACTTCAATCCCGTTGTCTAGGTGGCACGTAAATAGAAATATTTTTGATTTAATTGATGTTTATGTGTAATGAACATACGATTAAATTCAAATTTCATCTCGAGTGAATTTTGTTTATAATTCAGATTTATATTTAATGAGCATTGCTATTCATAAGAGGTGCTTACTGATTATCGAGATGGCAAATCATCTAAATGCTCATCACCAGGATGAATATTATTCATATTTAATAGGAGAAACAAAAGGTAATAAGCTGGAGAGAGAGAGAGAGGGAAAAGTATAATTTTTTGCCTCTGCATCAGACGGTTATCTATATGCTTTGTTCTGGACATATAGCATTCAAAAAGAAATTTTATGTACATTTAGCTTCTGTGGCAGCTTTTCTAATGCAATTCTTGGAGATGCACTAATAATTCTCTCCCTCTCTCTCTCTCTCTATTTTCTTTTCACTTTTTTTGGAATTGAGTGTTACCGAATTTGATGCTCAACTTTTACAAATTCAAATGTAATAATCAATCCGTTGTAAAAGTCACAACCTGTTCCTATTGGAAAATTCTAACATATATGGGGCCACACGTAATATATTAAAATGTGTTGTGTTGTTATTTAAAAAATATTAGTCAATTAAAGTGATCCGTTAAATATGTATTTTGACTAATGTGTAATAGGTTTCATGAAAATATAGTGTACAAATCGAAATGTTGTTTTAAATTGATGAGGGGCCAATTTGCAACAACTGAATGATAATAACTATTCAGTTACTATTATTTTATATGGTTATGTTCCCCATTTGATTGTGTTTTTCAGATTCTCTGCATCCCCATCAAAAGAGGTTGAAATTCAAGAGAAAACAACCAATCAATTGGAAGATCATAACCCATTCAGGCCAACAATCAAACAATATGGATCAAGATATGTTTATACTTCCGCTATTTCGTTATTTTCTCTAGTTTCAATATGGAGTATTATTTAGGGTTTATATTGTTTATATTTTCGCTATTTCGTTATTTTCTCTAGTTTCAATATGGAGTCTTATTTAGGGTTTATATGAGAAAAGCATTAGAATCTAAAATCCCTTATTTTATTTTTTATCAGTAGGTTACAAAATCTATAGTATAGTTGATCGAGGTTGAGCAGAAATAAAATAGAATTATGTTAGTATATTTTTTCAAGAGGATATAAATTAGGGGTGCCCACTAAAATTTTGTCACGCCAAACCTTTCATCATTTGTTCTATTTACTAATTTGATCATAAAGAAGCAACCACAATTTTTAATTTTTTTTTCCCACCACAGTTTTTTTTTCTTATAACATTCACATCAAAACTCTTTTCTTTTGTTTTTCTTTAAGATTAAAAATTGCTCCAATTGGCAATTTATAATTTTTTTCTATATAATCAAACTTCATTTTCAACTACATATTTCAATGGATTCACAAGTACTATTCATATATCTGTCGCTTACAAATTCTTTTCAATCGGAGATAAATTAGATGATTAAAATGGAAATAACTCTCTGAAGAGCATTTGGGTCCATAGTAGAAAGAGTCATTCTTGACCTTTAATCTTTCTTTCGTGAGTGATAAAATACGATAATAAAAATTTAAATTGAGAAATGATGACAACTTAAAATTTTGAAGTTTTCATCCAAAAGATATTAGTCCTTTGAATAGTGTCATTTCGAAGCCTTTTAAAAGCAATCAATCTTCGTGAGAACAACCTTCGCCTCCACCAAAACATCCTAATTTTTCATTTTAAGCATTTATTTGTCCCAACTTATTTAAAATTTATTTTTTGTTACTCATTTACAACGACACATTCTCCCAATAAATAATTTTTATATGGACACATAATTTTCTCCAAAAAATCATTTTACTTCAAATAATCTCTCGCAGACTAACACTGAAGTTTCTAACAAGAGTAATGCTATTAAAAATAAAGAACACATTGCAATTATGTGTCCAAACTTTTTAAAAGGTGCAAACGAGTCCAAATTTGAAAAAACCATCACCCATAAGTCGCCACCTTTGAAGCCAAAAACCCCCAGCCAACCACCGCCCAAACCACCGAACCTCCATACCATCGGAAAGCCCTCACTCCCCTCTATACATACCCATAAAAAAATCAATCAAACAACAAATTATATGGGCAAAATCAATAGAAATTCTCCTCAGCCGAGTGGGAAGTTTTTTAGGTCAAATCCAAAGTTGCTTCGCTTGAGTGGTGAATTGCAGCAATTTGCAGCAATTGATTCCCTACCTAGAGTTGTTACACCTTGAATTGTATGCTTATTGGAGCAATTTGTTGATTGGAGATGTGGAGGAACATCAATTGAAAGGGGGTTGAAACGGTTGGATTGTCTTCTCTGCTTATAAATGAACTGTCATGTCCAGGCGAAATTGGGGAAGACTCGTATGCTCATTGGATGCGCCATGAAGAGTAGGAACCTGAGGTGGTGGTCCGCGATCCTGGGTCCCACTACCGGTGCCGGAAAAATATCCTGAAAGCTGTGTAGCGACTGTGTTCGAAGCTGCAGCCTATTGGGTTTGATTGTGTGCATTAAAGGACGGTTGAGGACCATGGACAGGGACGTATTGGTGTGTAGAATCGATTGGAATGTTGGGAATGGCTTAGGTATCGCCGGAATAAGTGGTGCCGACAGTTTTTGCATTCATGAGTAGGGTATTTTGGCCTGCAATTTCTACCAAATCTGTTGGCATGAAGGTTGGATGTTGGGTGGTATGTGTACAGGGGAGTGAGGGCTTTCCGATGGTATGGAGGTCCGGTGGTTTGGGCGGTGGTTGGCTGGGGATTTTTGGCTTCAAAGGTGGTGGCTTAGGGGTGATGGTTTTTTCAAATTTGGACTCGTTTGCACCTTTTAAAAAGTTTGGACACATAATTACAATGTGTTCTTCATTTTTCTTTTCTTTTGCTTTTGTTTTATTTGATTAGGAGGGTAAAATCGTCAAAATATGGTGAAAAGGACTTTCGGCGCACGAAACGTTGAAGGTAAGGGCATAGATGTCAAGAAATGAAAGGTATGGACGATTTCCACAATACACTCAAAGGTATGGACGTTTTGTGTCAATTACCCTTGAATGATTTATTTAATTTTACCTATTATTTAATGCCACATTAACGTCACCTAAACTGTGATTGTAACCTCAGCGGGCCTAAATAGCATTACTCTTCTAACAACCATGTATCTGATTTTTTACATATTGAGATCAGTTATCAAGAAGACAAAATCAACTTACCTCTCCCATCCCACAAACATGTTATTTACAACTTCCAAAAGTGACCAGCAAAGTTTCTCCACCGAAAAGCCCGTTTCATACGCAGTATTTGAGAAGACTGAGCAATACAATTGTAATTTATTTTTCTCTGTCGAGAGTATCTTGTACTTCAAAAGACTAACCCGTTAATCCTAGTATACCTTGTTTGCTTCTGCTACCTAATGAGCAAGCTCTAAACAACTGAGCAACACCCACAACTTCCATATTTCGTACTCCAATTCTAAAGTAACAAAAAAGACGAAAAATTTCTATTCTGCAGATTTTGGTTCTGAATCTAAGCTTCTTGTAGTGCCTTCACCATCAACAGACGACAAAGGAAACTTGCATCTAGGATTCATCTTCTTCACTTCCTCGCTCGAATAGATGCAAATTTTCTTGACTATCTTACAGAACTCCCTGAAAAGAATAAGAAAAATTTAAGAAGTTCTAATAGCTAATTGAATGTGACTAAGAACAATTTTCGAGAAATTCAAACTACTCACGGCCATGGATCATCGCCGACAAGCATGACATCGCCCTCGTTGTCAGTGTAAACTATGTCCCATTTTTTTATTGGGCAAAGCTCCCCCTTAATCTCGAACATTTTTTCCAGCTCGGTGATAAGGTCATCATAACCTTCTAATGAACTCAAATCGACAGAACGTCCGACAGAAATCCCTTGCATTTGTACCTTAAGAACAGATTTATTCAAAAGCTAATTTGTATATGCTCTTTTACTATTGTAGAAATTCATCGAATATAACGAACATACCTTGGTATGGGTTCTTGTAGATGAGATGGAACTCTGTTTACTTTGAGTATCATTAGGCAAATCCTCAACTACATGTTTTCTTTCTTCGGAGAATTTCAAAACACCCTTCTTGTTCATCCTATCAACATCATTAGAACATTTTGAAGTGATGTTTGGAACTGTCACTTGCTTCTCGACCAGTGAAATAATATTTGCTTTGTTCCTCAAATCAACGCCAAATAACCGACATGCTGAAGTAGTCTCGACCTTCTTACTTCTATCAACTTGATCAAGAAAATGATCCTTACTTATCCTCAATGAGATGGGAGTGTTATAATCAGAAAGGATAGATCGTACAGATACATTTTTATTGTATTCTGATTCCTGAAACAGGTTTGGAGAATCATTCCTGACTGAAGTAGGTGGACACATTCCACCCGACGATAATGTAGCCGTAGTTCCTACATTACAATTGACTTGAAAAGTTAATACCTAAGCCTTTCATTTTGGTTCGCTCAAAAGATGTCATAAAATAAAATTATATACCGGATGGATGCTGATCAAGAAGTCGAGGTCTTTTGTTCTTTGTAGCATGTTGTGCAATCTCAACAGAAGCAGAAGAAACAAATGGCTCTATCTCCCATGGTGAGACCCTCTCTGACTGCTGCTCGGTTGCAGGTTCATCCCATTGTATCTAAAATAAACAATAATTTGTAAAGGAATTATTAATAAAATGAGACGACAAAAAGTAACGATTAGACATGCTAGATAAACTCAAAACAACTGTTGTTAACCTTCAAAGACCGCCAGTTAGAATCTTTCCAACGTGGAGAGATATCTACAACACCAATTATGGAGCCAGTCGACCTGAATAGACATCAATAGAATCAACAACGAAACTATACAAGTTTCAAAGTTGAAACACAGGCAGGGAAGAAAATGAGCAAGGAACCTTCTCTCAAGAGATTCTTCTTTGAATCTCATCTTAAAATGCATGCCCATAGTAAATTTATGTCGTACAGCCTCTAAATATTTGTTCATCCCAATGATGAATTGGCTTGCCCTGATACATCATATCAAAGATTAAGTAGACTATGTTTAAATCAAGAGTAGATATATTTCTTTTATTTTTTTCCCAGGGTGATTGCCGTACCTTGGCTTGTAATACACCAGAAATAGTGTTTTTGTGGTAATGGCATGCGATGCAGAAGCAAGCACTCCAAGATGCATGCTTTCGCTGGAAATAACAGAAAGTGGGATGGTACTTTGTTGTCGAGCTATACGGCGAACACCGACTCGCAATTCTCCGTTATCACCCCTGCAAATCAGTGGCTGTAATTCAAATTACAAAGTGCACTAAGACCAAAAACATAAAGTCATAACTGAGAAGGAAGCAAAAATTACCGCAAGAAAACGAAAGCATCGCCTGCAACTAATCTCTTAGAGGTGACAAATGTGCTCCAGCCCGTTGTCAGCAAGTGTCTCCGTGGTTGACCTGATTAAATCGTTATTATCTTTTTAGTGTATACATTTGATGTAAAACTTTAGCTTCTATTTTCGACTAGCTGAAAGATTACAGAAATTGTTGGTTCTACAATAATACAACATAAATATCAGAATTCATACCTCGGAATATATGCTTAAATCGCCACTCATAACCATGAAGATCCTTTGCAACCAAATCCTGGCTCGGGATTGCTTGAGTCATATCCTTGAGGATTAAAAATAAGATCTCAAACGTCAGAACATGTCACAGACCTGAGACATAAGCTTTGAACAGTATATGACAACCACGGATTTGGGGTCGGCTACACGTATACTTCTTCATCATGCTGCAATGTCCATTGCTGTCCATTCCCTAAGCTTTGAATAGTATAAAAAACCACCATCGACTGAATAATAAAAAAAAAAAAACCAACAACAAACTAAGCCTTACTCCCTATAGATTTGGGGTCGGCTTCACGAATACTTCTTCGTCATTCTCTGTTTATTACCAGAGCTACTAAGAGATGTAAAGCGACTAGGTCCTCGTAACCACAAATAGGCCATGTTAATTATTTGGTAACTAAATTACCCTCATAATTATTTGGTTAATAATCTTCTTCCTTTTGCAATAACAAAAGATTGAGAAGAAATTCCTTACCAATGGAGGGAGACATTCATTGGCGTCCCTTCGAAGAATAGAGAACCCTCCATGTGTACTTCTGTCAGATGCCGTCAAAATCTTACATAAAGAACGAAAATTTTGCTTGGGTGGATTGGGAGGGCATGGATCAGGACTCGTGGGCTCGGTTTGCTACAAGAAAGACAATACAAGGTTCATTTGATACATAAATCACATAACTTTATAAAAGTTCTAAATAACAAGAATAGCAATACACACAAAAGTCAACTTCTTGCAACTATTACTGAATTTCTTCTTCATTGATACAAAATATACCGATATGCCACACTTTTTTTCAAAAGTGGGAGTTAACATAGACACGGGGTTGAAAATAAAAATGCTAATTGCTTACATCTGGTTCGGGGTGTAATGTGATCTGGGTGTAAACTTCATCTGTTTCAGGTTCAGCCTATCAATAATTGAAGCCAACAAAATTAAAACTGGCAAACAAATCTTTCAAGAAATAAACAAGAAGGTTCAGGTAAGGGGAAACAAACCAGATATCAGAAATGAGAAAATACCCGTAATTGAATATGAAAAACGCGACAAAGGATCTTCGAGGGAAGATTGAACCTCGGGATTTGTTTATTCAACTCTTGATTAGTAGATGCCTGCAACTGTACATCAAAACATGCTTATATCAAACTGCAATTCTAATTAAGGAAATATTCTCTAATGAGGGTAAAGAAAAGCCTACTTGTTCTAAGTGACCCTGAGGAAAATAGTAAACTCTTTCTCCAGTACAAGGAAAATTCACCATAGGTCCTGCGCAAGCCTTCCATAGAGCTGTATACAAATCACCGCTTTCTACACCAGTCGAAGGCAATTAGACCAGAGGAAGTATAAGAATATGGGTTTCGAAATTCGCAATTCGGCACTCAAAAACGAAGTGAAAATAGCTGAGGCAGAGCCTAAAAATTTCAAAAAATTCAACAGAAGAACGCTAAAGAGAGAAACCATATGAAGAATTTGTTTCTTCAACTGCTGATCAGTGATTTCTGTAACAAGAATTTTAAAGTTATGCTTGAAGATGATTTGAACAAATCAAGTACAAAAAGAATTGCTAATAACTGAAAATAGAATGATTCTAAAACACATAAAAATGTAAAATTTGAAGATGAACATCATTCAATATGTTTATCCTAGTATTCTAACAGAAATTAACCTTAAAATGACAAAACCCATATAAAAGATAAGTGTTCTTTTACCTGCATTTTGAGAGTTTGCCATCATTTGAAGCTGCCAAAGCTCACAAAAGAACGAAAAAAAAAAAAGAAGAAAAAGTTGCGAGTTAGAAAAATAAGGAGCTTTGTTTTCAATCACTTCAACCTACCCAAATTAACATCATCATAATCCCAACGAAGCCCACTCTTTATTTATCCATTTTCAATCATACAAAAATAAATAAAATCTTAATTATCACCTTCTTTTTTTTCACTTTTCAGTTACAAAACCGCCCATTGCTTTTATACATGCACATAAATAGATAAATGTCTGTATTTATACACACATTTCACACACAGCAGCAGCACCTGAATCAGACCTCTCTCTCTCTCTCTCTATAAATACATGATACACGCGTTTCTCTCCCTTCTTTATTGCCACGCGTCTTTAATAACAATTGTGTTACATGCCTCATCTCTTACGTCATTTTTTACTTTGACAATTTAAATTTTTACCAATTTTTACCAATTTTTTCACTCAATCAATGCTTGTCAACACTTGTCATATCAACATTAGTATGTCTCGTTCAATGCTAGAACATTGTTCTTAGCAGTTTTCTATTTTATTCTCACAAATACTTACTAAGAGTATCGAATTCAACAAACAATAATAATGTTTGGAATATGATCATAGTTATATACGGATTTTACGTGACAAATTAAGAATAATTACAGATTTAACCTTGATTGTAATTTCTTTTACATTTTCATTGCTTAAACTTGACATTAATTTGTACAAAATGAAATTTAGAAGCAATTTGAATAAAATATTGAATGGAATTTAATTAAATTTATCATTGCATAATAATAAGAGTACTCGCAACTCAATAGATAAATTAATTCAAATGTGATCTTTAAGAATTTCGAGGTCCTTCGTTTACACATTAAGCCTTCGTTTGGTAATCATTTTTCTACAAAAAAATGCATTCTTTGTGTCAAATCACACATTTTTTTTGTCTCTTTCCAGCCATGGACCTCACTTGATGTGAAAGAAAAAACGTATTATTTGAAGAAAGAATGACTTCCAAATAGAGGCTAATTCAGTGTTTCGTAGAGACTTACAAGGTGAAATCAAAGCTACGTGAAAAATACAAACGAGAAATATGACTCAACATTTTTGAAAAAAAAATATATTTATGCGTGTGTAATATTACTATAATCTCATTAACACTTTCGAAGAATAAATAAGAGAACGAAAGAAAATGATTAAAATACGGGTTGGAGAGTGTTTTAAGACTCAACTTTGACACTAATGGGTTTGCAACGAAGAAAGGAATTGATACCAACTTTGCATATTGTAAAAGTTAAGCAATCGGCTTGCGCACTTAAAAGTTCTATGATAAGATTAAGATACTTGCCACCATTCTTTTCTTTAATTGAGATGAATACTTTAGAAATGTACATACAGAATATTGCACAGTTTCGACAGGATTAGATAGGTAGATAAATATGGGTAATTCCCTGAGGGGTACCCCCCCCCCCCCCAATGGGGCACGGGCCCCATGTGTTTTTAAAAATGACAGCTCGTAACCCCACCTCCTTATGTGAGTGAGGTGTAAATAATTATGTATAAAATTATTTACATGTAGACTAACCCTATAAATATTGGCTCTTACATCTTCGAGGGGTGCTACAAGTACATCAAGGATGCCATAATGGTGTCCATAATGGACACATGGCACTCTTGATGTACAAGAGGAATTATCCTACATCTCCTTCAAGGTTAAATTCTCCTAAAAAGGCCTAGAGATTCCATTCGGACTGACAACATTTCACAACATTAATGAGTAATTTCTCAAAATTCATATTTAAAGGTTAGTTCCATTTGGTGATAGTGGAATTGAAAATTGCCTCTTTTGGGCCCCTTTTATCGATCTGATTAATCCCGTTTCACGATCATTAAACCAATTTTTTTTTTCTCAAACTCATTTTTATCCACACATTTTTTTATTTTTTATTTTTACCCTTACATTAATTGTTAGTACATTCCACCCACTTTTGTCCCCTACAAGTATTGGCACACACTTGAATCACTTGATAATCGAATCATAGATAAGAATCTTCATATAAACCAAACATGGTAATGGAAAAGAACTTATATAGGCAACCTCAAATTTCATATAAACCACAAATGAAAATGGAAGTAGCAAGAGCCGACCACCGTAAGCAAGCAATGCAATTAACCTTCATGACAACTCAAATCAGCCAGAAAATACAATTTCGACATACAGTTATGGCAAACGTAAATCTATTGACATCTTAATCCCTCAAAAAACACAGCCTTCTATGTGCCGTATTGGCTCCACAACAAAATCATCCAAATGCTAAATCTGGATGCATAATAACGTCATCAATATTCAAGCAAACTCAACAGACGATTTAACATAAGGTGATGCTGGTCGACTGTATACTGGCAGGTGAATGGGGGACTTGACATTACCACACATGAAGTTTAGTCCAGAGACCGAAAATGTACAAATGCATGATACCTTCGCTGATTGATTCAACTTGAGAATCCTACATTATCACAGATGTATGCTTCAATGACGAGAAACTGTAAACCGTGACCACAAACCATGCTACAACCATCATTATAATATTGTTCCTGGAAGAAAGACCGTGTATGTAGTTAATACTTAATATATACAAAATATAAAAGATACGTGAAATGTTTGGAAAAGGGGGTAGTAGCAGCACCATGGATTCATGAAAATTAACTGAAGTTAGGACGATGCATTTCAAGATTTGAGAAGATGAAGTACAAAGCTGCAAAACGAAACTAAAAAATTAAGATTAAGGGCCTGCTTGGGAGTTCTTTTTTAACCGGTTTTGGATGGCATCGTTTATTAAGGATTAGAAAAATAGGTGTTTGCTATTTCTTTTCGGACACCAGTTTTGGATGGTTTAAAAACTACCCAAAATTGGTATAGTGTAATTTTGACCGGTTCTCTCAACCCACCAAATTGACGAATTTTGGCCTTTTCTCATACTTCTAATTTTACCCTTCATAAAATAATTATTTTCAACTAACATATTTTGTTCAAAACTAACCTGTATTAAAAATATTAACTAAAAAATTATTTATAAGAAAACAAATTACATTGTAATTAAAAAAAATTACTTATAAGTAAAAAAATGCTTCTAAGGTTAAAAAATAACTTTTATGTAAAAATTTGTTTATAAAGTAAAAATACTAGTAATAAGATAAAAAAAATCACTTATAAAATATAAAAAGTTACTTATAAGTTAAAAATACTAACTTAAAATTTTAAGTAAATATTTAACTTATATGCAAAAAAAATTACCTATAAGTAAAATATCATTTATGAGTAAAAAAAAAAAAATCATACAAGAAACTATAAATTGAAAATTTCACTAAATGATATATATGTAATTTTATTCTTTCAAAAAAATTTCAGAACCGGTGGATAATAAATTCTCGAGCATGAGTTGAACTATTTTAATATTTTAAAAACGCTCATAACGGGGTACCCCAAAACTCCCAAGCAAGCCCTAAATCTAAAGCATCATAGCTCACAATGTGTATTTACAACGGAAATCCAACATAATAAGTAGGAGCAAATCAAAGTTCACTCTGAGCTATCAAATAAATACAGGACGCGTGGGGCAAATTGCTAGAATAAAGCCACAATGACTTACCTAGTTGCCTTTTTAAGGTAAAAACGTGTCCGCTATATGTTTTTCTAAGAAAAACCACGATGAATATGCAAGCAACCTAGCAATGAAAATGTCTACTATATATAAATAATGAAGAGCATCTAACTCAGCAGTTAAAAAATATCACCATCGAGGATAATATCAAACATTTCATGGGTTAAAACAGAAACTTATAAAAAGGTTCAATGGGAAATCACAACAATTCTATTATTAAAATTAAAATATTTTTCCTATCTTTTACTTACCCTGCTGATGTTGCAGTTGAATTCAATTCAGTTTAGAGTTAAGACTATCTGACATCCTGATGCATTTTGTACCTCAAAAATCTAATATACTATAATAACGAAACACCATTTTGACATCGAAAAGAAAGACCATAAAATGCTAATCACATCTAGATTAAGATAATTAAATTTTGTTTAGCAAATCCGTCAAGTTTTACGAATCATAATATCATATTTTACAACTGTCATGCTACATCAACAAACTTCATCGCAATGATAATGCAAAGAACAGTGAGATGAAGATCAATATCTATTTGCCAGACTGCCTAGTCAAATCTTATTCTCATTTTTATGTCACTTCCCGTTCTTTTTTCATTCTTTTTTTTACAGGGATACTTAATAAGCAAACCTTATATATGTTTAAAATACCATTTGATTGGAAAAGTGAGTGCAGTGAACATGAAATTTGAAGCTTTTGAACATTGAGTCAAAAACATTTGTATGTCCACTAAGATGATTTTTTTCTTTTAAAAAAAAAAAAAAAGAAAAATTCAACAGTAGTGGCCAACGGGCAAGAATAAGTGTCAATTGAAAAAGAACTTATTTTTATTTTAGAATCTATTAGGGTAGTAATTTCTTTTAGACATTAGTTCTGTTCCTACTGAACAAGTAAAATTGGATAATCTAGCTATTTTTTGAAGACAATGTTTTGCATTACCTATAGTTTTGGCATAAAAATTAAAGGCTATGTTTGGTAAAAATTCTCATTTTCAACAGTAAATCAATTCTCATTTTCAACCACCCACAATAAAATAATATTTTCCATCATATCAATAATTTTTTCTTCTTTCTCAACCACACATTTCCCATCATATCATTATTCAAATATCAATTCTTCCCCCAAAAATCCCAATCACATTCTTCAATAAAATAATACTTTTCATCACATCAATAACTTTTTCTTCTTTTTCAACCACACATTTCCCATCATATCACTATTCAAAAATCAATTCTTCCCCCAAAATCCCTACCAAACACACACAAAGTTTACTATCCATCATGACTACAAACGTAAAGCAATGATGATGAACAAAATTCAAGAGGAGTTTTATAAAATATGTGAACTCTACTAGTTTCTCATCTGATTCTCAGCTGAAAATCTGCAGTAAGAGCATGTGGCAATTATCACAGCACAGTCAGTGCCCATGGTAGCTATCACCACATGCAACTTCAAAAATACCTTTTCAATATGATACAACATCCTTTTATCTTCTAATTTTTTAGGAGTTTCTTCAAACCGTTATTTTAAAAGATAAAAATGATGACCTTTAAACAATAAGGAACACGATCACCGTTGTATTGGTCATATAAATATTTCAGTACATATCTCTACCCAGAATGCTTGACTTCTTAGCAACAAACCAAGAGTACAATAATTCATCACAGGATCTATGATAATCAGATTGGTCTTCGCAATGTTAATGCACATCTGAGGCAAAATTGAACTGACAAGGTGCAGGTATCAGATAGTAATGCAAACCTACAATATGTAGATCCAAAAACATGCAGCTCAAAGGTAAAAAAAGAGTTACGATAAAACATCATAGCTAATAGTACATTTAACTTTTCCCCTTTTAAGTGCATGGTCAATTGATTCCATAAACACTATTCTTAACCACCCCAATTGTAACAAAACAGTTATAAAATATTTTAATACTTCATAGACAAACAATAAATGCAAAGCAACAGGTGAAACAGCAAAACTTACCATAAAACGGCTAGTTTCTTAAACTATGGTAAGATTGTAAGAGTTGCAAAGTTGAAGTAATGCAGCTTGATTTGCTGGCTCAAGATTTTCATTAATGATCCGCGGGTATGTTCCAGGTGAACGAGCAGAAAGATTTGCCAAAGATGCAACCAAAAATTGCTTTGGATCATTGATTTCAGGAAGAAGATCCTCTTCTCTCCTCCCAGCATTGTACAGGTTAACGTAAGTGGTATTATAACCCACAGTCTCACCAAAATCTGGAACATCAGGCTCCTCTTCCACTCTTTCCTGTTCTGGGCGTGATAGAAGAGTAACAATGCTGTCCAGCATTTTCCCCCAAAGCTTGGAATCCGATGGCGTCAGTGATTCACATATAAGTCTGGTAGAAGCAACTGAAGTTAATTTAAGCTCAAGTGAACCCGTGATCAGCTTGAGATTGGGTATCCAAAACTGCTCTAAAATTGTACGAAAAACGTCAGGCTGCACAGCATTCATCGAGCCTACAAGGTTTTGAGAACCATGCTTGACCATAAAAAGTGACATAAATATCACAAGAGATTTGATATACTTCACTGTTCTGTTATGCTGGAGCCGATTAAATAGAGCAACCCAAATGTGGCTAATGTAGGGTGAGATCACATCATACCCAAGGTTCTCAATCACGGTGTTTAGCACATAAAATCCTTGTTCATCAGAACTAGGAGACAAAACTAATGTGTTGAATATACCAAGGACATTAGATAATCTCCCTTGCTGGTTCAGCTCATGTGGAGCCTTTCTAAGGAATGCTTGAAGCAAACGCACAAGGGCAGGGACATTTGCAGACTTTTTCCATGATTCGGGTAAAAGGAGTATTGCAAAGATCTCCATATAATTCCCAGGTAAAGGAGGCCGATTCAAGTCAACAAGCTGAGCTAGCAGCTGGAATGCATAAGGGAAGAACTCTGTCACGTCTCTGGATAAGATCATCTGTAGACTGGGGAGAAGGCTTGTTTCAAATGCAGATATGAGAGATGGATCCTGCTCACAAGCCCGTCTGACGAGTAGAGCCACAGATTCAAACAGATAGTGGTTAAAAATAGGATTCTTTGGGTTCTCACAGACTTTATTCAGAACAGTTGTCAGGCCATTGATGCAAGGTAAAGCAACGTCACGAGAAACATTAGCAACCCCAAGAACTCTCATTATACACTTCATCACATACTGATTCTCCTCAGATTCTGGCTTCTGTAAAGCATTAAAAAGGTTTGTCATCAAGAGAAGTAAAAATGGACCAATGTCCGTTGCTGAGTATCTTGCCCTTCCACTTTCATCTTTGACCAGCAAAAGTTTCTCAATACAGCTGGCAGCATAAGAATGGACCACATTCGACTCTGAGCCAAGGAAGCGAACAACATCGGGTAGCAAAGCCATTGCAATAGGTTTGGAGATCTGATTCCTAAACATGGTGAAAAACTTCAATGCACCAGCCTTCAACATAGGAAACCCGTCCACATCCTGACTTTGCAGCTCTGGCACAATAACAGACCCAAAAAAGCTCTCAACATTAACAAGATCAGTGGAAACAGAACTTCCGCCTGCCTTCTTCGAGGCAAGAGAGACAACCAAATAGATAGCACAGTCCTTGTGTTTCCAATTTGCAGCTGGATTCTCAGAAAATGAGGCCAAAAGCAACTGTATCTGAGCTGCTACCTTCTCAGTGACTTTCTCCTTGTAATTCGTAGCAATCCCCTTAAGAAGTTCACAAGCAATTCTCCTTCTCGTGTCAAGATCACTCCCTTCCATATCCCTTCTTATGAACTCTACATAATTCATTTCAAACAACTCCTCATCCTCATCCCTTAGCATCACATTAGGAATCACGATACTCTGACAAATCTGCTGCAAAATGTCATCCCTAGCAAACAAAGTATGGTGAACGCTAGCACTAACAATGGTCAAAAACTTAATAGCAGTTACAGTTAGCCTTTCCCGACTAGAAGCAGCAGATGCAACCACCAAAAGTGCCCACACTGCCTCCACGAAACCACTCAAATATTTCTGAAACAAGTCCTCCTCTTTCTCCATATAGAGACTTATATTCTCACACACAGCAGCTCGTAACTCATCGACCAACGCAAGCCCATCATTTCCACTATCCTCAAGAGCAGGGTACTTTACAGTCAAATATTTCTTGAACTCAATCATCCACTCTTCCATATGGTCCTCAAAAAACTCAGGCAACTCCATAAAATTAAGGGAATAAAATATCCTACAACACAACCTCTGAGACTCTATGTACGGCTTAAGGGAATTTGCATTAGCAGCACCAGAATTGCTTACCTGATCTAACATACTTGCAGTACGTTTAAATACTTCCAACAATGGTTTTGCAAAGTTATCAAGACAGTATTTCAAATCAAGCAACAACTCATTGGTCTTAAACTGATACCTAAATTTCTTAAACAACGAATTAATGGTGGTCAAAACCCCACTTAAAGAAACATAATCATTGGCCTGGCTTAACCCATCGAGAGTCTGGACAAGCTCCGGCAACAACGTAGGCCATGCTTTGGGGAAATCATGTTTCCCAATTATGGTCAGGGCTTCACTGAGCTGTGCTTGGATTCTGGGGGACGAATTCACCATTAGAGTTACAATTAACGATTTGATTTGCTCCTTTTCCGGGTCAGGTATAGTGTGGGTTTGAGCAATGGACGGATCTGTGGTCTGCGGGGCCCAGCGGGCCTTGAGGGTGTTCTTGAAGTTGACTGCAGCAGACTGACGGATCTGCTCGTCCACTGAGGGTTCAGCAACAAGGCGGAGCACGGCAAGGCCGTAATTAGGCTTATCAGCAGCCTCTGCCAGCGCCGCCTCCGCACGACGGCGGGGATCCGGGTGTGGGGATAGGGTGTTGAGGAAACATTGTGAGAGAAATTGTAAGGTCTCAGGGTTCCACTCCATCTTTAACTCAACTTCACTGCGTGCGTGCCAATTTTAGGATTAGGGTTTTAGTGAAATATTGAAGGTATCATTCAAATCAAATTACAGCTACAAATTTGATTGTATATATTTATTCTACAAATATGATGAAGATATATAAGAGTGTAAGTAAATGTAGAGAGAGAGAGAGTGAAGATTACCTGAGATATAAAGAGAAATTTGCTCACACGCACTGAAAATTTGAACAAGAGGGTGAAAAGGAGGGAGGCAGAGAGAACGAAATGCTGTAGTATAGATTTATGGGCCTAAGACTTGAAAATGAATTGGGCTTCAAAATTAGCCCATTGGGTTATTGCATTAATATGTAAGAAGGGGAAATTACATAAATCCAGGGGTTTGAAGATTAGAATTCACAAATCAGGGACCAATTTTCATTATTCAAATATCAGGTAATATATAAAAGCCATAACCCTAATTTTTCACTCACTCACTCCCTCCCCTCCCCTCCCCTATGTGAATGGACTGTGATGCTGCTGTAATGGAAGGAGATTAGAGCATCTTCGCGCGGAGGCAGAGCAGTTGGGTTTTGCAACGGTTGCGGCGGAGCTCGAATCGCCGCGAGTTGGGGGCGGTAGCGTGATGCGGCAGAAGCTTCAACCACCCTCAATCCCTTTTTGTCGGCTGAATGAGCTCGAATCACTGCGAGTTGCGACGGTATTTGGTGGTGTCTCTTCGTTGGTGGCGGTGTATTTAAGATTTTAGATGAAGACAGATGGTGGCTGAAATTTTTGAGGCAGTGGTGGTTTTTTTCTGTAGAAACTTGAGGCGGGGTGGTGGTTTTGTTGGACTGATGGTTGCTAAAATTTTTGTTGATGGTGGCGACAGAGGTGGTGGATCTGACAGTTTGGGTATTTTTGTTGAATTTGGCAGTGGATCTGGTAGTAACAATGGTTGTTTGTAGTTGCAAATGGTGATTTGTTGGTGGTGGCGATGTGGTGTCGGTGGTGATGGCAACAATGACGGGGATGGTGGTGGATCTCGCGGTTGCGAAGACGGGTGGCGGTGGTGTTGATGACGGTGGTGTGTGACCACTTGACTAATTACATGGTTACGTGTGACCAAGATTAACCTGTGACTTGAAAAGTAATTTGTGACCAACAAATCTTGAAATTAGTGACCAATAACTAAATTGTGACATGTAATGTTTTTGATTTGTGACCAATAAAATTTTAATTTGTGATTTCGAAATAATCTATGACTTATAAAAAATTTGATAATATGTGACCAGTAAATAAATTGTGACATATATTTATATATATGTGACCATTATTATATTTAATTAATAA